AGCTGTTCAAAGTCTGAGCAGGATAGGAATGGGTGATTAGCTATTGTTACATTGGCTGAATATGTAAGTTTCCTGTTCTAAAAGCATCCTGCCACGCTTCACAGACAATCGTATTACCAGGAATTTCAAATTCAATGCATTTGCCATGATGTTATTCAAAATTGCATCCTTTGACGACAATGACCACCCACTCAAAGTCAAAATTCGCGCGCAATTTGTGGTTCTGCAAAGATGGAAGGATAACTTAGATGAAATTATCTGTGCTCACAAATGCCTATGAAAAGCTAGATGCAAACAATCTTTGTCACATAAATGAAGTCTTTTTTTGATGATTAGTGCCGAAAAGATTTGGCTGGCACGATTTAGTGGATATAATGGACTATATCCAGTGACATCCTTTTTTTATAAGTAACTCACGAGCTTTGATCATTCTTACGTACTCCTTCTGCAAACAATCCCTCCAGACGGAATATCTTATTTTCATTCGGATAAGCATCGGTAAGCATCACTATGATCTCTTTCATCCAGGAAAATTCCTGCTCTATGAAAAGCTTACAAAATCTCTTATTTGCTGCAGTGACGCATAATCAGCTTAGACAGATTTTTGCAGACGGAAACAATGTTTTATAGAAGGAAAAAGTTCTCAGCAGACGCATTTTTTGGACCTCTTTTCTGCATGAAAAGCTGTATGGACTGCAGTGATGCGGACAGATTTCAAGCTAGACTGCATAAAGAATAGGTCAGTTACGTAGTTCTCTCCATGTGCTAAGCTTGAACAAACAGTTCGGAATTATTTTTAGTTAGAAAATTTTAAAATTAAGCTTACTTTAATAATTCAATCTGATTCAAGGCAATTGTCTCTAGTTACTTTATTCGTGCGACATTTGTAGCAGCTGTTATTTTAAATGTTACAATTTTGCCTTGCACTTTGCGAGTCCCAAAAAAGCCCAAAGTAATCTCAAGGACCCGAGTTGCTCCAGCGTAAATTTTTGGCTAGAAATCTTTCTGACTCCTCCCAATTACCCCTACTGTGTAGCGATATTGGGCGTTTTTGCTCGTGATGAGCGTCAAGAACGAACCGAAGATGGGCGTGGCTACGGTGAGCACCATAACTAACCGGGCAGTCGTTCAGCTATACACACCCGGACTACATATGGTCTACGTCTCTCTAGCTTACGGTAGATTTCGCCTTGTGACCGTCCGAAGTGCTGTAAGCAGGAGTCGAATTCTGAACATGGCTGACTGCCCTGTCCGTGTCCGTCATCTCTGCTATGGATGATTCTGTTGGAAAAATCTCAGAAGCTAGAATTTCTAAAACTTGTGCTCTAAGCTCCCATCCAATATCGCCAAACTCCCCTGCAATTGGAATATTACTTCATTTGCTTGATCCATGCACTCGTAGTAAGTTGATGTATCTTATAAGGCAAAAAACTACGACAGCATATGCTTTGCGTGACCTCATCGCTAAATATGT